ATCAGTTCATGTGTCAAATGTTTTTTTAAAAAATTCAAATATTTTGCAGTCACCTAAGTGGACACATAGGTACTACAGTAATAGGGTATTGGGCAGGTGGGAGGGGGGAGGGGGGCGGGTATATACATACATAATGAGTGAGATGTGCACCATCTGGGGGATGGTCATGATGGAGACTCAGACTTTTGGGGGGAGGGGGGGAAATGGGCATTTATTGAAACCTTAAAATCTGTACCCCCATAATATGCCAAAATAAAAAAAAATTAAAAAAAAATTCAAATATTTGTTCTCTTGAAACTGTGGCTTTGGTTCCCACCCAGCATCCCCACCGCTGTGCGAAGAGAACTGGAAAACCCCCAGCAACCTTCCTATGTGCAAGGCGACTTCTGTCTACTGCCTGGGCCCTAATTTCCTGTCTGCAAGGTGTCCTTGCAGAGGGGGTACAAGGTGTCCTTGCAGATGGGGTGCAGGTGTCCTTGCAGATGGGGTGCAGGTGTCCCTTGTAGATAGGGTGCAGGTGTCCCTTGCAGACAGGGGGGGTACAAGGTGTCCTTGCAGATGGGGTGCAGGTGTCCTTGCAGATGGGGTACAGGTGTCCCTTGCAGACGGGGTGCAGGTGTCCCTTGCAGACAGGGGGGGTACAAGGTGTCCTTGCAGATGGGGTGCAGGTGTTCTTGCAGATGGGGTGCAGGTGTCCTTGCAGATGGGGTGCAGGTGTCCCTTGCAGACGGGGTGCAGGTGTCCTTGTGGCCCAATGAACGTCCCTTTGCAGACACTCTCCCCAGTGTCCACGCTGCCTCTTCTAATGTGTGCCCTGGTCTGACTGTGTCCCCCAAAGTTCACACGTTGGAAACTTAACCCCCAGTGCAGCAGGGCTGGGAGGTGTTGAGGTCTTGAGGACTCCGCACTCAAGGATAGATGATTATAAAAGGGCTTGGTGGAGGGAGGGTGGCCCCTTAATTCTGCCCCTCTCCCTTCTGCCATGTGAGGACACAGTGTTCTGGGTGCCTTGATCTTGGACTTCCCACCCTCCAGAGCCATGAGGACCAGATTCTTGTTCTTTATCAATTCCCAGACACAAGTCCCCTGTGACAGCTGCACAGATGGGCTGGGACAATGTGTTTCCGTCTGAAATACAGACTTGCTAGATCGGGTCTTGTGGGGGCTGGGAATCTAGTACGTCACCAACATCAGGGCTCCCAGGACCTGGTGGGAATAAGACACCATGTGACACGCTGCTTCCACTGCGAGGTACCAGCATCTCGTCCCCTCAGGGAGTTTTAGGGCCCAGAGTTCCCAGACTCCCAGGGCAGAGCGGCACAGATGCCATTGACTTTAATAAGAGACATGTGACAGAAACCGCATGCTGTGTTTGGAAATGTATGGGCGGACCCACATATTATCTCCAGGGAAAGAGGTCTTTTACTACCCTTGGAGGAGGTCAAGGACAATCAAAACCAAATGTGTCTGCATTGCATGCAAGCCCATGTAGATACAATTTAAAACCCACAACTTTGCAAATATTAATTATGTGTGATAGGTCAGGGGTAGTTAGTATAATTGAAATGTAAACTTGTTGATGGGTCTATTAAAGACAGAGTGCTCAGGACTTGAATAATTTTTGCACGCCATGTTCTTTCTTCCCTGCTGTGGCTGAAAAAGATTGACTTTATCACCGAATTATATTCTGCAGAAGGACGGCTAGTTCCACATTTCAGTTGACAAAACCTAAGGTGCCATGCATTTTCAACTTTGAAAATATACTTCCAAATGTCTTATATTTCACCTTCGTGACTTATAATCATTGCTTTGCAGTTGGGGAAAGTACATGGCTTTTTTTTTTTTTTTTTACAAATGCAGTGAGGAGTTACAACTGACCTGTTAGCAGTAGCAGGAGGCTCGCACTGATTTTCTAAGAAATGCTATTGCCTGAAGCCCCCTGTAACAAACGGATTTTATCTTGCAAAAGGACAAGCTGAGAGGCCCCGGCCAGCAGTGGCCAGGGAGGGGAGTATCCGGCCCAGGAACCCTGCCTGTCATTTTGCATCCTTACCTGCAAAGCTTCAGCCAAAGTCCGGGAGGGTTTTGGGCTCTGCTTGGGGCAAAACAGTTGGCAGTAACCTGTGTGGAACAGGTTAATGAATACTCCTTTATTCTAGCAATGGCCCCCTGATTTCTCTACTTACTTCCTAAGCGGTGTCGTCCACTCTCACGGGGCTGCCTGTCATCGTCCCCACCCAGGCCTCTCACCTCTGCTCCCATTTCCTGTCGAGCTCCTTCCCTGCTACACACCAGCTCCAGCTGCTGCTCTCCTGTCCCATGCCTGTCATCCATTCCCCGTCACCCGCATTGGCAGCCCGGTGCTATCGTTGACTCTTCTCTCTGTTCTGTTCCAACATAGTCACTTGAAAAGCGCTGTCAACTTCACCCCCAAAGTAGCTCTAGCGTCTTCATCCTTCGGTTCCTCGACATGGCGCCAGTCCCTGCCCCCGCGGCGGCCCTCTGCGCGGTGACTGCAGCAGCCTCCTTCCTGGTCTCCAGCTCCTGTCTCTCCTCTCCAACCAGCTGATGCTTTGCTAAGTAATAGGGAAGGACATTTTTCTAAGATAAGATAATGCTTTCTTTGCCTTTTCATCAACTCCAGAGATTTTTTTTTTTTTTTTTGGCAGAGTCAGCCTTTTACTATACAATTAAAGGCTAGACTTAAAATTTTAACCTCACACCCATTAGGATGCCTACTATCAAAAACCAGAAAATACTAAGAGCTGGTAAGGATGTGGAGAAATTGGAGCCCTTGGGCGCTGTTCGTGGGGATACAGAATGGTGCAGCCACTATGGAAAACAGTATGGCAGTTCCTCGAAAAATTAAAAATAGAACCACCATATGATGCAACAGCTTCACTTCTCAGTATAGATCCAAAAGAATTGAAAGCAGAGTCTTGAAGAGATATTTGTATACCCAAGCGTGTGGCAGCATTATTCACAATAGCCAGGTCATGGGGGCAGCCCAGGTGTCCGTGGACAAATGAATGGATGAACAAAACGTGGTCGATACATACAATGGGATATTATTCAGCCCTGAGAAGGAGGGAAACTCTGATGCCTGCCATGGATGAACCTTGAGGATATAATGCAGAGTAAAATAAGCCAGGCACAAAAGGACAAAGACTGTGTGATTCCACTTTAGAGGAGTCAAATTTGTGGAGAAAGAGTAGAACAGGGGTTGCCAGGAACTGGGGAAGGAGAAAGGGGGAGTTGTGATGTAGTGGGTATAGAATTTTAGTTTTACAAGATGGAAAAGTTCTGGACATGAGTTGCATAACAATGTGAAGCTACTTAACACTCCTGAACTGTATACTTAAAATGGTTAAGATGGTCAATTTTATGTTATATGTATTTTCCCACAATTTAATTATTTTTTAATTAAGCTTACATGATGACATAGCAGCCTAGTCACCTGTTGTACTGTTTCATGAAGATGAATTTCAGTATTTGGCAAGAGAAGTTAACTTTGAAATGTAGAACTTGTCAAATAACAAAGAATAACTTTTAAGGGCAGGAACTCCATATCTGTTCTAAGAGGTATGAATTAGATTCTGTATAGTAAATTCGTGATATTTTGAAGAGTATTTTGGGCCCAGCTTTCTACCTGAAACTTCTGTTATTAGCATGATCAAGGAAGAATCCACATGTTCTACTGGCCTAGTGTAGGTTACTGAGAACCTAGAGTCTCAAGACAGTCAATTCTGGGAACACATTTTGGTGTTGGAATGAGGAGGAGCACGAGGGTAGTTAGGACAAGAATCTGGACCTGGTTCTGCCCGTGTATCGGGAGAATTTCCATTCCCATTTCAAAGGGAAAGAAAGAATAATAAGAACCAGTGTCCAGACCATGTTAATAAATACAGAGTTCCCGAAAAGGCCTACCGCTCCAGACCTTACGGCTCCTGCCAAATCCTGTAAAAATAAAGATTAAACTGTACAGAATATTTGTTTTGTTCTGATGGCTGTTATTCTGCTTTGGTAATGAGAGTCCCCAGGCATCTGGCCTGGGAGAATGCTGACGGCTCTAACTTTCGGTGCTGCTCTTCACCCGTTCCTTGCAGGGGTCACTTCTTCCTCGGCCTGTAGTCCTCTCCCCTCTGCAGTCACACGCTCCGCATCACGCGTGGGGAGCGTGGCACGCGGGGCGCTCGGCTGACCCGCCGCGGGGTCTGCCACACGCAAGCGCCGGGTTCTAGTGTCGGCAGTGCCTAGGTGACAGTTTTATTCTTTTAAATAATTTCAAGCTTTTGGAAGAATTGCAAGAGTAGGACAAAGAACCACTGCATACCTTTCAGGAAATTAAGCATTGACATAATAGTATTATGTACGGGACCTCAAATTCCACCAGTTTTCCCAATAATGTTTTCTATATATAGAATTTTACTTCTAGGCTAGGGCCGCACAGTGAGTGCATTTAGGCAGCGTGGACTCACTCATTTTTTTTTTTATCACCCATTAAGCAAGTCAGCCCTTCCTACTTTTTTCTACTTTTCAGCAGGAAATAAAGGGTTGGTGATTCCAAAGATTTGGAGAACACAATTAACTTGCTGTAACCAGCCTATGTACATCAATTATTATTTACGCTTTAAAATGAGAGGAATTCGTGTATGACTGTATATTATCAATCAATACCCTGTAAGGATTGAAGCGGCCAGAGATAAGTGTGGATGGCCACATGGAAGTCTGCTATGGGAGACCCAGTCTTGCCGGCAGCTGAGTCTTCATTAAGCTGTTCTCACAGCTTCTGCAGCAATTTGGGCAAAAGCATTTGGAGGATGTTGCATCTTCATATCAAATACCCACATAATGGGCCAAGGCACAAGTTAATTAGAAGGCTTTTGCCCTAAATTATAATTTGTATGTAGCTCTCGTTTAGAATTCAGAGTTTTCCTTAGGGCAGCTTCGCAGGAGCAGTCACCGAGAAAGTGTCCCTCTGCAGAAACGGGCGGTTGGGGCACCGACACCGTAGCGACAGGAACGCTGTCTTGCTTGCAGACTGACACGACTGTGAGTCCCCACCCTCGATGGGGTTGGCCAAGCCACCCGCAGGAAACCCGGCAGTGGGAAGAGAGCAGAGAGAAGGTTCCCGGGCTGAGGGTGCGGAAGGCCCGAGGACCTGCGTGTGCCGTCACGCGTGTGTGTGACACAGCCACGTGGCAGGCCGGATGAACTCTCGAAGACACAGTTTGTGCCTTTACTGTCGAACGGCACATTCGACGTCTCTGGGAATGAGACTCCCAAAGGAGGAAAGTGCGGGTTTTGGAGTTTGATGGCAAACAGCAGGGTGTTGAAATTTAACAACTGTCAATATAAGGCCTTTTCCCGACAGCCCACTGTCCTGAGGTGTGTGAATGTGTGTGTCGGGGTAGGGGCCTTTCTCAGGGTATCTTCGGTCAGACTCGGTTTCTTTAGGTCAAAGAGGCTTTTGTGTAAGAGGAAACGGTGATAGTCCATCACGTCGTAGGAATGTCGACCTTATGTGCCTGAACTTTTCAAATATTATTAATGACTTTCAGGGATTTTTGATCGCTGGCAATGGGGTTGTTCAAGGTGCTCAATGTCAGGTCAGAAAGTAGAGATTAGCATCCTTGGAACTGTTAGTTATTCCATTAAGAAAAGAGAAAACTTTTTAATGAAAATATTTAAACATATAGAGAGACTAATGAAATGAGGTCTCCTGTACTTCCCGCACAGCCTCAGCTGTGACCATCATTCCCCCCTCACTCTGATTTCCCAGCCCCATCCTGAGTGGATTTTCCATCATACCCTGACATCATACTCATTCATCGGGAAATATTGTGGTATGTATCTTTAAAGATACTGGCTCTTAAAATAACTATTAAACCGCTAGCGCTCCCTACCACATCTCTAGTTTTTGCAGTCATCAATAATTCTCTATTACCGTTGAGTATCTATTCACATTTCCTCAATTGTCATATAAATTTGCCTACTAATTATTCAAATTCAGATCCAAATTAGGTCCATATATTATAATCAGTTAATACATCTCTTAAATTTTATTTTAATCCTTAAAACTCTTATGCATCTCATTATTTTTCTTACAAGTTATTTGTTGAAGAAACCCTGGTCATTTGTCCTGTACAGTTTCCCCAATTCCAGATTTGCTAACCTGTGTCCCCATGATGTACATCAACATGTTCCTCTTTCCCCTGTACTTCTTGTAAATTGCTGGCTGGCTGGGTGGGTAGAATGTTGAAATCTTGCATTTTCTAATAAGCTCCGGATGAAGCTGATGTTATTGGTTCTTGGCCCACACAGGAATAGCCACTTGAAGGGTGTGGATGGCCACATGGAAGTCTGCTATGGGAGACCCAGTCTTGCCGGCAGCTGAGTCTTCATTAAGCTGTTCTCACAGCTTCTGCAGCAATTTGGGCAAAAGCATTTGGAGGATGTTGCATCTTCATATCAAATACCCACATAATGGGCCAAGGCACAAAGTGTAATTAGAAGGCTCTTTGCCTAAATTAATTTGTATGTAGCTCTCGTTTAGAATTCAGAGTTTTCCTTAGGACCCAGAAAGTTTGGGTAATAGTATTACTAGCATAATAATAATACCAATGACTTATTTTCTCAAGTAGAAAACAAATCATATTAGCACACACATTTCTTGGCATTATAAATATTTGGATTTGTGGCCTTCATCCAATTTTCTTCAAACACTTTCAAAAGTGTGAAAAATTATACTATTATGCCAGGGTAAATAGCATTTTTATTTCCTAGAGAAATCCAAGCACTCTGAGGCCCTTTAAGTATGATATCTTTTAAGTTTTGTTAATAAAAATAGAAGCAAACATACTGAGAAGCCTACCCTCCTCGGGCCTGGGGCAGCCACCTGTGCTAGGTACTCCTGCCTTGCCTTCACGTGGGCTGAACTGTCAGCCTGGGATGGCAGGACTGACTTGGCTTATTCACCTCCGTATCCCACGGCCTGGAACATTCCCAGTCCCCAGGGCTGGAGATTGGAATTTAGATTTCTGGTTTGTTCTATACTGAGCAATTGGCCTTTTCTGCTTGGCCTGGCAGCACTTAGGGAAGGGGATTCGATTTCCCCTTCCCCTTGTCAGGAAGGTTAGGACAGATAAGGTAAGTGGAAGAAGCCCTTTGAGAATCACGGAGCGCTATGCAAATGTGCAGGGCACTCTGGGTAATGATAACTACTATGATTATAATTTCTGAGCACTTTCTGTGTCCCAGGAAATAAATGCTTTATGTAATTCTCTCCTTCAATCCTCCTAATAATCACTTGAGGTACATGCTGTCCTCACCTCCATTTTACAAATAGAGAAACTGAGGCCACCCCACGAGAGATTCAGGTCACACATGAGCAGGGGAGTCAGGATTCAAACCCAGGACTTCAGGGTCCAGGGATTGGGATCTGAAACTGGACACATTTGAATCTGATTCTATTCTAAGATAAGAACGTATTTTAGCATGTCGTCAAGCTTGAGTCTGGATTTTAAAAATCACAATTATTATTCAGTTTCTTATAATATTCCTGAGTATGTCTCTAACTCCATGGCGTGCCTCCTGGCTGCTCCTAGTTCCCGGTGGCTGAAATGGGACTGTCTGTCAGTTCTTCCTTATTTGTGACGCTGCGTAAGCTTTGCAGCTCAGGCATTTGTGGGCGATCTAGGAGAGGAGAGGAGAAGAAGGGCAGGAAAGAAGGAAGGGAGAGCAGGGACTCAGGGCCGCCCACCACTCGGCTGGCCGGAGCTCCTGCGATCCGCCAGGGTGATCTCCTCGCCCCACTCTGCGTGTTTTAGTCCAGATAATGTTTAATCCCCCTCCCTCCAACTTTGAAAATCACTTACCCTACAGTGTATAAAATAGGAGTGCTGTGTGCTTTAGAACGATGCACAAAAATGGAGAGGGGATTGACCTTACCCCCTCTGGGCATCTCAATGAGCAGTTTTAAAGATGCTTAATGAAGCATGGGGCTTCTTTAGAGATGACTTACATTCAGGCTATAAGCTTTGGAATTTTTCTCCCCCACCCCCTGAACAGAGCAGAGCAGCTCTCTTCTGCCCGTCCCCACCCCACCCCCAGCTCCAAACCGCTCTCATCTACCACCCCCAACCAGGCGGCAAATACCCGGTAACCCCCTCCCCCAGATCAGCCTGGAAGCTGCGCTCTGAGAGAAAGGGGCTTTGGGGAGTGTGCCCTGAGCAGTCAGCTCGGGCGAAGTGCGCACAATAAACTTCTATCTGGACTGAATTGTTCTGTAAAGTGGCAATCACTTCCCAGACAGGCAGGCCTTGGAGGACCCGCCATTCTGCATCTTTTAATCACCGTTGCTATGGAGAAAGCCACTATTTCATTACAGAAAGCGCCTTAACGCAATTAACACATAGTTCAGTTGTTCCCCGTCCCTTTTGGGTCCCCGGACGGAGGGGGCTCTGGGATATTGCTTTCCCTGGGGGCCCGAAGGAGACAGCAGGCCAAACAGGACAGGGAGGTTTCCCAGGAAGTAAACGCTCAGCAGCACCAGACTGGATTGTAGATGAAGGGATGTCAAAGGGAGAACTGGGCTTAAAATTAACGGAAAACTTGGCATGCAGGGAGGGGGTTGGGTGTTGCAAAGCAAAGCAAAGCAAATGAAAACAAAGAAAAAGCCTCTGGTGGTCACTTTTTAAAAATTTGAAAATATACACATCCTCTAGTGAAACAGGTTTTTCTACTATTTCTTATTTCAATTTGCTTTTTTTTTTTTTAACCCCCTAATGGGGGCAAACCCAGTAGCCCAGTAGGGCCTGTGTAGACACCACTGTGGCCCATGCCTGCCCCTCTCCAGGGCTACAGTTTTAACCTCCCTTTCACAAGCTCCTTTGGAAAAGAGGGAAGATAAGATTTTTCTACTTAACTGGGGCCATCAGAAGAAATGGTCCTCAGGGTGCCCACCTGGCTAGGAAAAAAGAAATGCTAATGAAAAGGATGAGTTCAGATGGTTATGAAATGTGGATTTGAGGACAAGTTTTCTAAAGTTACTGAATTCGGAGTGCTTCCCAGGAGTGAGGCTGTAGCTTGGTGCCTCTCTTCTTGCCTTTCTCTGGCTGTGTAGAGTAAAAGACTCAGGCAACAATTTAACTCTCAATTAACAGTAGTTATAAGAAAAAAAGAGAAGGTATACTCATGCATCCTCTACTAAGAAATCCATCTGGAAAGAGGAAGGCAGCGAAAAAGCCGGCCCAGAAAACAAAGGAGGAGCACATATATCTTGTATATAGATGTCGTGCACCGTCCCTAATTAGCTAATGTATTTCTTTCCGCCGTCCTCTTGGAGGAATTCTCAAGCGTGTCCCCCGCCGCTCCTGGAGACCACAGAAAAGCAAATGACACCGAATTTTCCCTTCTTAATTAAAATGTTAAACAGGGTTAAGATGCCAAGCTTCATCAGAGATATTTGTTCCCCTGGTGAACTCTGAGCCCTGCTGGGGTTCAGTTCAATGGGAGTTATTTGAGTCAACACATGTTATTAAGTTTCCAAATGTAATCAGCCCAGATATTTTAATGGAAACTTTCTCCTTTCTTTTAATAAGCATGTGGTTTGGTTAAAAAAGCACTTGGGTGAGGTGCCCTGCGCTGCCCTTCTGTAACCAAATCGCCATAGCAACAGGCAGCTGGTCTCTGCAAAGCCGGCGGGCGCGGGAGGGGGCGCCGGCAGGAGCCCAGCCCCCAGCCCCGGTGTTTGGCCAGGCAGAAATAACCTCAATGGGATTAGAATGTTTAAGGGGCTAAAGGCTGTGGGAAAACCTTTGTCTGCCATATTTATCTCCTCTGCTGTTGTGTCTTAACATTTCCACTCGGGGAACAATGGGGTTAAAAGTAAGAGCAAATGTTTTGATGGGTTTATTTTGAATTATGGATTCATGGATCTGCATAATCGCCTGTCAGCCTCAGGCTGCTCCGACCGTGCCCTCTGAGGACCAGGGGACGGGTGGGTGGACGCGGCAGTGGGAATCGACACCAGGGAAGACCTTCAGCGTGGA